TGTGCTCCTCTGAGACATATGTAACTTAGACCTTTCAACAACATAACACCTTCTACTCCCGCAGTATTACTTCAACAGACCGCCTACGCACTGAAGGGGGATATGGAGCTCCGTCTAGAGAAGGGGCTGGACGACTACATCGTCAAGCCGATGAACAGGCGGCTTCTAATGAAGAAGCTGCTGAAGTGGCTTCTAAACCGGGAGATACGGTTGCAGCCACCAGGAGTTCCCATGAGACCACTCTCTAGCTTTTTGCTCACCACCCGCTTCAGATAGGCGCCCATAATGATGACGACACGGTATGATAAGAGCTGTGAGAAATGCGGCTTTCCTTCCTTACTTACCCATCCGGGCCGTCGGCGGAGCTCGTCGGAAGCTCGTGGGTCCGAGTAAGCCGGGATAGATGAGAAAGTCAATTGTGCTCTTCGGCAATGGCCTCTGTGGCTGCATGTTCCCAATCTTGTCATCCACCGACTGTACTTGCAAGTCAGCTCTTGAAAGATTCAGCGTGGCCCATCTCTCCCCGCCGTTTTCATGCTTGTACTTCGTTGGATATCTATTGCCGCCTGAACCTGAAACCAACCACATTTGCTAGTGAATGTAGGGACATAACCGAGAAGTCTTCATTTAGCTTCGCTATACATAACGACATCCTCTGTAATGGCATTATAAGAGACGCACTCATAAGCATCACCGGCGAGATTCAGATATGCTCCCTATCATGATTTGAGTTCAAGCCCCATCGGCCTAGGCCATGGGGAATGGTGTCGCGGCGGCTACACGTAGCGCGCTCACTAGCGCTGGGCCAGTCTGTGACGGAATCATCGCGACGGTGGCGCTGACGTTGAAGCGGGGAAACACCCGAGACTCTCTATGTGTGTCTGATAGACTTCAGACAGTGCAAGTGTCCAGCATTATCTAAGAGGCATCAACATCATATTCGAACACTGCCCGCAAGTCTGTTTTGATGCCTCGCTCCCGAGACTCAGCTTCTGCCTTCGGGCTACAGACGGAAGGGCCAGATTCCGAAGCCTCTTTGTCACGACTATGTCACCTCAACGACATGCACCAACCAAGGAGAGTGCGTGCTACTGAAAGGAGTCACTGATGATATCAAGATAGCTTAATTCCACAGCACAGATGTTCATCCGGCAAATCAACCCGCTGGCTCCCTTGTAGATCCGTCCAGGCCGTTTGGGTTTACCTCGTATCGATAAGAAGTGGCGGTAGACGGGAGGTTAAGACCTTTAACCGTGGCTATTTTTACATGACTTTTCCTGAGATGGATGGAATTAGGGCATAGCATGCTTGAGGAGGTGAGGTGGTGTCAAATACTAAGTTAATTTTCTAAAAATGGGCTTCCGAGGCAGAGTGTGATTCTAAAGATAGATGCAGAACTCAGGCTTAACTCACGGTGAAGGGAGAATGGCACTCTCAATGAGGGCCAGCTGAGACGTATATATTAGAAGCATTCTCTCTCTGTCTGATCGTTCTCTATTCTCTATGTCGAACCCTCTCTGACTGAGATACCGGCACCTTCCCTTTCGCACTCTTCATCTTGGCCGTTATACAAGAAACTCCTACTTCTCTTCTACATAACCAAGTTGGCCCTCTTAAAGAATCCACCCCTCAGTCATCATGCTTCTCAACCACTTTCTCCTAGGCGCACTTCTTGCCCTGAACTCAGTCGCTGCACTTCCCAATCCGGACGCTGACATTCACGACGTCGAGGCCAGGGATGACAATGACAGGCACGGAGGCCACCAATTCCGTTGCCCTAAGGATGCCTACCCGACTGGTAACAGGAAGAGGCCGTGCGTCTGCAGGGACCCAAAGGAGAAGTTTGATAAGGATTCCCGTAAATGCGTCTGCAAAGAGGGTTTCAAACGGAAGGGCCATAAGTGTGTCTGCGAAGACAGGAGGAAGGAGTTCAGGGACGGCAAATGCAGATGCAGGGACGGCATGTGGGAGGACAGATGGGGCAATTGCAAGTGCCCTAAGCATAAGCATTGGGACGATGATAAGCAGAAGTGCAAGCGTGGCCACGATGACTGATTATGGCTGAAGGTGATGATGGATTATATGGGTGATGGTTGCTTTTCATGTTACTCTCTGCGCGAGCCTAACTTGAGGCATCGCGGTTACGATCCTTAGACTGTTTTCCTCTTTCTTCTATTATGTATAGTTGACCCAAATTGGCTAAAATGCAAAGGATTTATTTTACTAAGCTATTGTTGTTGTTAACCCTAGCAGACTTTTTGGCCTATGTTGTTTTCTAGATCTGGTGCATGTTAACTTGAGACTGGCATCTTTAACCACATAGTAAGCATTTATCTACCTTGCGAACCACAAGACAAAGCAAACCTAAGCCACACAGTATACAGATTCTCGTGACTTGTAACCCGCTCAAAAGTAGTACTCGCAAGAAGTCGACCTCGAGCTCGGTGCAAGTGCTGAACTTGTGAGCACAGGTGCCTGACTGGCAAGCATGAAGCTCATTAAGTGCCTCGTCGTCTCTCTTCATGTTGGCAGGGCGGTGAGGGTTATAGTTAGCCTCGATGCGTCCGATGCGCCAGTAGGCAGCCAGAGCACGAGCGATCTAGGGGATAACTGTTGGATTGGGCCCTGTATAATAGCTCTAAGGGTGGTCACGTGCCTTCAATGGCCGGCGAGGAGAGCTCTGGCTCACCAGATAGACTAGACCTAATTAGGAAAGCTATATCACGGCCTAGAAAGGAAAGAGGCGATAGCCTCAGGATAACTAATATAAGGAATACACATAGATTAAAGCTATGATGACGATACATTGGAGCTCATAGGCTATGGACTGAGTCCTCCGTTTCTGGGATGGGTTGATGCCATGCATCCTCTTGACTACTTACGCGGAGAGAAGTTATTCCGTGACTTGCACTGAGTCAGTCCAGTAACATATGAACTAGCCATGGCTAGGTAGTCTGACCAACCAAATGGTTCTTCGGTACTGAGAAGACTTCTGTCATCTAAGCTTTATAAATCATCCTACACACATGGTAATCCCACTTTCTTCCAGAACCTTTTCCAGTCCATAAGATCCATAAAAACCATGATCAAAGCTCATCTTGTCCCAAAGTAGCCTCAGTGGATATAATGTGTTATCAACCGCCCTCATGTCAAAGGTCGAGTTCAATATAATATCCGAAAGTTGATCCCGCTGTTCTTGGAACCTCATGTGTGATCCCGCTATCAATATTGGCCACATTACAGTCGTCCAAGATGGGGACTCATACGACATCTTAGAAAATGCCTCTAAGAAACGAACCAAACGCTGTTCAACAGCTACATGAAGGTCCGAGCTGGGAGTGCAAGGGCCATGAAAGGAAGATTCGAGGAAGATATGGCAGGCTTCACGATACAGCTGACCTGCATATTCGAAGTCTTTCGAAAAAGCCCCCTGTGTTGGTCGCCAGGCTTGTAGCTTCCCAAGTATAGATGTGTAATACTGGAAGGATATCTGTGAGGGGGCGACTCCCTCCGTGATCCGTAACTTGGCGAGGTCGCATATCATAGGGATTGTTTCGTACACAGGGTGAGAGCAGCCAAAAAGGCATCCGTAGAAATTTGACCCTTGATTCAGAAGTCCCAGTGAGGGTAGTGATAAGGTTTGGTTCATCTCAGGATCGAAATGAGCTGAGCGAAATGTTATGTTTCAGACAGTGGCGACGTACGCGTATTGCTCTGCTAAGAAGCCAAACAAGCTGGGATCATGACCTTTGAGGTCTTGCTTGACCATTTGGAACATGGACTTGCTTGCTTTCAGATGGTGATATAATGCACCTCTGGTGTTTACATCAATAATCTGCGACAAGTCAGGGCGGCAGTTCTGCTATCATCAACAAGCAAACTCACCTCGAACCAGCAGAGCAATCTTATCCTGAATGTGAAGTCCTTTCCATCGTGTCAAAGCATGTTCCATTGCCCGCAGCACAATCGCATAATGAGATGCACATATCTCTGTCATGTCTGACCTCTTGTATAGTAAATGGGAAGCGCTGATTGCGAGGAGCGTGTGTTGCATTATGGTGTTGTGAGAAGCAATTTTGAGATTGCAAGAGAGGAATGGATTTTCAGGGTATGTTCTTCCGGCCATTCGCTTTGCTGTGACATGAAGAAAATGATCGAAGAGATACCGATTGGTGCCCTTTCGGAATTGCAGAGGTACCGTCCTCAGGTCCGCTGTGACTGGAAATGTTGTCTCAGATGATGATTTCTCGACGTTATGCGTTGCCGTGGCTTTTGAGTGTGGCTTAGAAGTCTCATTATTACGAGTCTTGACTGGCGACAAGGACTTCGAGCCCAACGGAGTCGTCCATTGGCAGATCAAATGGTTTCTGTCGCAGCCGAGGCAAACCGGCCTAGAATCGTCGCGCTGTTGTCGGCATGGGACACAGCCCGTTTTGCTTCGCATGCAGGAGCCTCTTGCCCCTGGTCTAGGTCGATAAGTCATCCCTAGGAGAAACCACAGCGGCTGGATGTATTCAATGACTTGTAGCCAGGACTTGGTCTAGGCAACATCTCTCTTAACACTAGATGAGCTTGAGGGGGATCAGGCTTTCTTATCTTACATTCCGCTTCGGACGCCGGTCGAATGGCTGGCGATAAGGGGAGATAACAGGCTGTGCAGAGACGGCTATCTCCTGGCCCAATGTTGATCCAAATCGCGCCGCATTCTCTAATTTTCGTCTGTGCAAACCTGGACGACCATGAAATTCACCAGCCTTTTCCCGAAAAACCACCCTTAGATTCTACACTTTCTGTTCCGTGCACAATGACACAGATATCGCTTGTAAAAGACGCAGCCGAGAAGACCATGATAAAGTATGTGTAAGTTCATCGAGACCATTAAAGCAAAACAGGGTTAATTGTATCGTGTTAGTTCTAAGCTTCGTGTGTCCGAGAGGATCCCAACTCTCTCCACGGTATACAGACCCCAGCCACCAGCAGATCGGATCAGTCACACTGTCTCAACAATTTCCAACGGGTCCCTCTACGTCTGCCAGATGCTCTCTTCTCTTAATCGCAACAAGAAACCCACGTTGGAAAGCAAACCATTGTGTCTTGGTATTCCAAGGCTTAGCCTTGTTTGCCAGTTCAGCATCAAAGTACCGGAAGAACTGAGCGATATACTTGTAAAGTTCGACTGTCGCTAGATGTTTCCCTATGCAGTTGCGGCTGCCCATCCCAAACTGTTGCGACTTATGTTAATATCACTGATAGATCAACGACAACGGGGAATGGAGTGCTGCTCACTGTCATTAAGAGAGACTTCTCGCTCTTGATCCGTTCGCCATCCTCCGGGCTTCTGGGAATCCATCGTTCGGGTCGGAACTCCTCCGCATCCGAGCCAAAGATCTCCCGTGAGCAGTTCACAGCTCTTGCGCTGGCACCGCAAGTGGTACCACAGGGAAGAAAGTATTCTCCAATATGAGCTCCTTCTAGTGGAACGTTCCGGGGTAGCTGGTACTGGATGGAAGGGTGTAGTCGAATGCTTTCTAAAATGACAGCAGACAGATATGGAAGCTTCTCGGCCTCCTTGAAAGAGATCTCGCGCCTTTCGTCATCGATGTTGAGTTCCTGGTAAGCGTTATCGATCTCTTGTGTCAACTTTGTCTTGGAGCGAGGATTAGTCAAAATGTATCCAAGGCAAGCCAGGATGCCGATGGCGGTTGTATCAGCCCCTGCAGCGAGAATATTAACGCCCTCAATCATGACCTCCTTTTTGTCTGCTTGGCGCCCCTGAGCATCCTTGACCTCGATGAAATGTTGAAGGAGATCCCTTCGCTGACCGGGTAAAAGACCATTAGTCATTCTCTCCTCAACTCTCTTGTCCAGCCAGTCGATGAAGACGTCGAAAGCATTCAGGCGATCGCCGCCAAAGGTTTTAGTGAACCATTTAGAGACCGGATTATTGATCCAGAGCATTTGCAATGGAAAGATGCCCATATTACCCATGAGATAGAATCCGTCGCTGACAGACTGGATTATACCATCGACGTCTTTTCCTTGTTGTAAGAACCCAATCTTTCCACCCAGCGCCAGCTGGCCAACCACGTCAAAGGTAAAATAATTTACCATCTTGTCGAAGGCAATGTAGTTGGCGCCGTCTGCTAGTTCGCCGAGCTTTCTTCGGTTGAGATCCAACACGTCTTGGATCTGTGGCTCCATGCCAAGAATCGACGTCATGGAGTATGCGCTCGAAACACGCGACCTAAGAGACCGATGGACTTTGTTGTCCCTCGTCGCAAAGAAGCTGATCGTCATGTTAGGGACGATGAAAGTGTTGTAAAATTTTGACTGCACACCGCATCAGCATGTTATTCCGAGGTAAAGAGTGAAGCAACGGGGATGTTCCTGCCTTTGATACATTCTTTCCATGACCATAGATGGCTTTGATCGCCTCTGGACTTGTAAAGCTCACTTCTCCGGGGGATATTCGAACAACTTGTCCGTATGTCTTGTGGAGCTCTAGAACGTCGTCGTGCCAGGTTCCTCGAAAATATCGGATTGCTCTCCAGAGCTCGCTTGATCTAGCTAAAAAAGGGCCGGGAATCTTTCGCAAGGGGTGGAAGAAGAGGTTGTACAGCACACGAAAGAATAACAGGCCCACTAGCAAGATGACGAGGCTCCCCTTGGAATGCAACAACAAGAATAATGCCGAGCGAGGGAACAAATGCTGCATCTTGGTGATAGCTGGCTGGACATAGCCTCCTGGGAGAAAGCTTGAATTCTGTTTATAGAACTCCATTGTGTTCGAATAGTGGTATGAGCGTGTTGTGTGTAGAGCGCTGTAGCTCTTTCTTGACCTTTTATATTCTCGAGGGAGATTGAGGCATTGACGCCTCCAATATGCGGCCAAGACCAGATGCTGACTCTCGTCTCGAACAGGAAGCCAAGAGCGACTGTGGCTGGCTGTTTCCCGCTGGACTTGCAGTTTGCCGTGCGCCATTGACCAGCCCTCCCATCTTGTTTCTCGGAAGCCTCACTTCTCCACGTCGTTTCCGACCTTCTTGTTGTTAAATTATGATACTACGTTACGTGGCCGGGTGTGAGCCTCCGAATAAAAATTAAATATGATACGAAGTTGCAGGAGGATGACGCAAGGGGCTTTCAAGAACTCTCTGATTCATCTAGCAATGAGAGCCAACTAGTTTTTCATCAAGAGCTATGAGCACACTTTCGTCTGCCTCAGGGCTGAGTCTTAAGACCCCCCACGACCTCGGCCGCATGAAGGTGGGTAGAAAGACTGGTGCCAAGGTGATCTATCACTCCTCTTAGATATGGCTGCATCAAATGTGATATCGCGTCTCACGCTGATTTGACCCCATCTGCATGCATCCAAGCCAGTAAGACACAGCGCGAAATGTATCCTCAAATGGGAGGATCCACACAATGCGTCATCGAGCGACAGAAAGCGACAGAAAGCGATGCAAAGCAAAACTGCTGTAATCGAATACAAGTAATTCTCAATTAGATGCTAGCTTGCTAATTAATGCCTTCGCCACTAGCTATGGAGATGATCAGCACGTACAACGATGATGGCTCCATTGATCAAGATAAAGCCTGTCTAGAGCCTAAGATGGATAGCACATGGAGACCAGCTTCTCCGACTGTTGGGGACCAAAGTGTGATATAGCTCTTTGTAACGCGAGAAATTGCCAGTACTTCTATTATGGGCTGAAATAGGTTGGGAGCAAGGTATCCTGTATGTGATGCGATTAATTGGTCATGCCCCTCGATGTGGTGTAACCGGAAACTGCTGTGTGAATTCACTGCGAGGCAAGCGCGGTTGGTGTATTATTTTTTCTAGATTTACTTTTTTCTGCAGCAGGCAGAGACGTCAGCAGCCGCAATAATTAACACGGTTGCGGTTGGTGCATGATATGAGACGAGCTTGGCGAGCAGCGGAATCGTGGGTGAATGTCTCAGCTGCATGGTGATTCCGAGATTCCGCCGTTAACTATGCTGTACATTTCACTGGCTGATCGCGTTTTCTCGTCTCTGCCACTTGTGCAAGAGAACGCTGATGAACGCTACACGTACCGACGTAGATGATCTCGCACCTGACGTCTGACCCTCGTCGGGGATAACGATGAGCTCGACTAAGTCCTGAGGCTAATTGTTGGTGTTCGTAAAGGAAATACTTGTGTCAAAGCTTATAATTCTGTCTTAAACGCATCACACTTTTAGCAAGTTTCTCTACTGTCGTTTTATGCTCGGCTTAAGGTGCTAACCACGACCCGAAATGTATTACTAATTTGCACTGCTGATTCCTAAATAGGATATGGTGGCTCTGGATGCTTAGACCGTTGGGTCTGATCAGAGCCATCATGCGGATAGTAGTGACTCCCTTGGTCATCTGATATACCTTCGCGCTCTCTGCCTCCATGGATATGTATGCTGTCGCGTGGGTGAAGATCAATGTCATCGGGCTGTGCATGTGCCGGGAGATCATCTGGAACCGCACCCCAGGGACTAGGCTCTGACCTGCGGTCCAAAAAGACCCTTCGTTCGCCATCTCCATATCCGTAGTCCTTGTTCTCGAGTCGATGTTGGGCATAATGACCACGCGCCAGCGCGATATCGACGATGATCGAAACGAAAAACAGGACACTGACCACCTGTCAGTCGAATCTTTAAAAGCCGCCACCTGCCGGCTGAGTTGCTAGACCAACCGAACAACTGTCACTTACACACAAATGATTGCTGCAACTAGGCAGGCAGTTTGCAGCTGACATGCGACTCGATAAGTCGGCAGTGCTAGAGAGCCCCTCTTCCCTTTGACTCTAGATTTTGCCGATCCTAGTCCATATGGGGTATCGACCTCGCCTTTGCAATTGCCCCCGCCGTGCTTGTTAGCAACAGCTACATATATGAAGCAGGCAAGGAAGCTGGTGTCGAGGATAATTGCAATAAGAGACGCGATGGGGATACCACCGATGCAACAGATCAGAAGTAGCCCCAAGATCCCATAGAGAGCGGCGCTGCCGGATATTCCTTCGACGGCACGGATGCTTGTGTTGATGTCATAACCATGTGCTGCTAGAGTTGCAAGGAAATATGAATAAACGGCGAGGATCAGGAGGGATGAACCCAGCTGCATGCCCCTGATTAGCCATTGCAAGCATTTGAGACCGGCTTCACCACTCATAATGAAAACGTGCACAAACACACTGAAGAATTTCCATAGACATAGGACATCTGCCGGCCTCGTAAATAACACGCCAGGTGCCTGCCTTGACTACTTTATAATGAGCCTTGAATCTTGCGTCGTAATGCACTTACGTTGATGTGTAAGTGTCGGTCTCGGTCTCGGTCTCGGTCTCGGCTCATAAGGGCTAGTGTAGAAAGATAAAATTAAATTATCTATATTAACTAACCAATTCTAAACGCCTTGATCAGGAACATGATCAACCCGCGTAAGTTCCCATGTGCTTTTGTTCTTGGTTTGCGGGCGACGCGTCTTGATAGGTCTTGTCTCATGCTCCCGTCCTACCCCTATCGCAGATCCCGCACTTTCCTCTCTACTGATAAACCCATGTTGTACCCTCACATCTTTAACCAGGATTGTAATATCCCCGCCATCCATATCTTTGGCAACGGGAGGCAGGTCAATGAACCCTGTGTCGCGAAGCACCGTCGTCACATAGCCAAATATGGCGGGCCCATTGTCGGGATGAGCAAACACAACGCTTGCAACACCCCCAAGAATCAAGACGACCGATGAGAGGATAAAGAGGGCCGCCCATGTTTTTGAAATGGCATAAACCTCCACCAGGTCGGTAACCTTAGCCGCGACTGTAATGTTGGCTTTTAAAACAGTGTTATTCTCGATGTTGCTTATTGATGTCGTTGAGTGCATTTGGCTCAAGTAAATGAATATACTTGTTGAGCAGTTAACTTAGCCGGATGCCGAGTTGGTCACCGTCCACAGCTTCAAAACTGAGAACCCCTGGGTTTTTTCCTGGATTTGCTACCTTGGATCGATCAGATACTGCATGCTAAGATCTGCGTTGTAGGGTGATAGTTCCTGAGATCCTCGAGGCAGCAGGAAATAGACGTGCCAAGATATGTCGATAAAGGATAGAGTAGTTCTATTCTCTGCGGCATGTCGGCGTTGTGAGTGACGCTGGGTGGTGGCGGTGCAGTTTTGTTGCGCTGAAAGGTCCTTGCGTGAGCAGTTGACGCGGGACTCGATGTACTCTTGTCTCACGTCCCAAATAGCTTGAACCGGCCACGTGTTCCAGCTCAATATCTGGACTTGGAGAAAAAGCCGGGTTGGCCCGGCCTCAATATCCGTCTCGCTCTCGAATATTGCCGGCGTGGCCGGGCTGGCCCCAGGAAGCGTGTGATCGGTGAGGGAAATCGCTGAAACCATTCTAGGAGCCGTTTTTCAATGGGTCGAGACGCCAGCCGTGGGAATTGTAACCATCACTCGCCGTGTAATTCCACTTGAGAGCTTCCCGGTTCTCTGATGATGATTGGAGCCTTTCGCATTCAAGGCCAATATAACTTGATTCGAGGGATTAATATGTTTCCCACAGGCACATTAGTCACCGGAATTCCAGCGAGGAAGGAGTAAGTTTTTGAAGATGGCTTCCAAAGGGCGTCCTTCCAAGTGTCACTGGACCGGTTGGTCTGGCTCTCCAAGAACGGAATCTTGACGTTCATCCAAATATCCATGGTGTCAATTTTCATAGGCTGCGGTGTTAATAAGAGTGTGGTATAAGAATTGTACAAAGTGGTGAGCCACGCGTTGTCTGAAAAGGCGTCGGGTATTGAGGAACTGGGAGGGCCGGTCCTCGTCGTGAACAGAGGTTCAGCGTTGGTGTCGTAATGTACGATGGTGGAATTATGGCTTGTTGGGCGAAGTTGTGAATCCAACATTCGCAGGACAGATTGCGCACCAAGGAGGGAGAATTCCCAGACGAAAAGCAAAGAAATGCCAAGGAGGTTTCAAGTACGGAAGTTGGGTTGAGTGAAGATGGTCGCTCCCACAGTCTGGCTTCCGATAAGTTGTTCCAATGTTCCAACAGTTGCACCCTTGTCAAGCTTCCATCTGGCAATGTCGTAAACCAGTCGACCGACGCCGGAAGCAAATAAAATAGGAAAGATGGTCACAGGCTATCAAAAGTCAGAACGTCATGGAGAGTAGGTCGAGGGGGCATTCTTACCAATGTAATGGCGTTGTGTTGCCTTGCGAGAATCGGGGCGTGCAATTCCCGGCTGTCAAGAAGCCAGACATATGTGGCGATTATTAAAAACAGAAGAGGTGCCACGATCACCGTCGCGTCTATGAGGCTAACCACGTGTTTGGCTTGTATTTTTGAAACACAAACGAGTTGTTCCCATGGGCTGTATTAGCAGGAGTTGTTAGGTCTACGCTGTCTAGAGAATTGTTTGTGCTCTCCCTATGTGCTTGAGCCAAAGAGTCTTGAGGGATAGAGTGATAGTCGCTCTGCAAGAAAGACATGTTGAGCGCCTAATGACCAGCGTTGAATAGAATCGTGAGAGAATTAACCCGCATTAGCGCTTCCGGGGAGGGGAGCCTAAAAACTGCATCTTACAATTACGTGAAATCCTGAATCCTTGCCTCCCCTGCTTGCTTGTTTCTAAAAGATATGCATGGCGTAGCCGCTTTGGCAGTTAGGCGAATTTCGTCCTAGGCGTATAGCTATGACCAGACGATAGGCATTTTCACGGGTAGCAATAAGGATATTAATATTAAGTAGTTTATTAAAAATAATAAAAGTATTATCATAGTTACTTATTATGTCTACTTATCCGCGTTATATAAGTTAATGAGATAATAAGATCAGGCGTTTTACAAACAACCAGTCAGCAACAACAGGTTTCATTGGACTTGGCAACATACGTAAGCGAGTAAGCTGACAACTTCTCTACTCCACCCTGGCTGCGGCGATTAAACAGTTCTTCAACCTCAAGTAAATTCCCACTGCCAACATGGCCGAAGCTCTCTGCTCCTATTGTAGTGGCCTTTCTATTGATCTCTTGGTCCAACTTATGCACGAGGATCTTCGCAAGAGTTCCAGGCTCCCACCCCCGCCAGCTTCCCTGTGTTACGAGCACCACGAGTCCTTCCTTGACCTCGAAAATGCTGCAAATAACGGCTGCCCCCTCTGTCAGTTCATAGTCGACTGCTTCAAGTGGGCCGCTTTTCAAGATGGACGTTTGCCAAAATGGCCTGTTGATGACAAGCCGTCGGCCGATCTCGCCGGGAGCATGTACGCTGTGGCTAAAAGGCTTGAGGTGTCGGATATGAAAATCTGCCTCGATAACCGACGTATGACATGGGAATGGATCATGGCGAAGAGCATTGATAAAATGCAAGTTCGTGTTGGCCCGACCTATGAGCTGCCGCTGGTCATAACCAGCCCTAGAGGTAAACGCCAGTCATCTATTGATAACTACCATTATGTTCAAAGATGATATGTGCGCCAACTAATAAGTTTAGTAATTCGCCGAGATATCGCATTTAAGCTCTAATTAAGCCTATACTCCTCTATTACCTAAACCTTTGTATCTTCACGACCGAAACCTTCCTCCTCGATAGCTTAAGTTACTCCTATGACTTAATGACTTAAAAACCTTAATCCCTTCCCCCCATAGCCAACTTCCCCGCTTTATATATATCCTCTTAGCGGCTTTAATATCGCAATTAGCTCTAATAGGCTATCGACCTAGCTTATATTTATTATTATCGCCTTAATAAGGCGGCGCCTTATAAGCTTTATAAGTCCTTTAATATTTAATTATAGGCTTATCTTTCTATCTATTATAATTACCTCTACCTATTATCCTTAAGGCTATTCTTTCTTTCCCTTCTAGGCCGCGATATAGCCTTCTAGATTAAGACTAATATAACTAACTTACCGGAGATTAATTAGCTATAGCTCTTATATAATTACCCTTAGAGCTATTATATAAGATCCCGCTTAATATGCCCCTTTAGCGAGAAAACATTACTTTTTATTACCTAGGTTATTTATAAATAGCTTTTTTTATTTAATATCCTTTATTCTAATCTATTAAGTCTCTAAGAGGTCTTTATATTCCTTTTAAGCCCTATAAGGTATTATTTATAATACTTTTATCTTTTTTATTATATCTTTATTTATCTTATTTTATAATAGCTTTAATCTTTATTATTTATTTAGATTATTAAAGGCCTATTAAAGACCTTAATTAAGGAATTATTTTCTTTTTTTATATTAGGTTTTACTTATTAGCTTTTCTTTTATACCTTTATAAATATTACTTTTATTATATCTCTTCTTTTTATTTATATTACTAAATTAGCTTATTTCCCTTATAACCTTAATTATATCTTTAATAATTATCTTACTAATAAGGCTCCTTATTTTTATTATATAACCTAGGCTTATTAAGAGCTAGCCTTTATATATATTATTAATAATAAGCTAAAAATTTATATTCTCTATAATTAAAGTTATAAGGGATATAATATAATAAGTTTTTTTTCCCTTAATCTTTATATTTTATAATTAATTTTATTAGATTCCTCTTAAGCTCTTAGGTATCGCCTAGGTATACTAAGTAGCTCTCGAGGACCTTTATATATAATATATTAATAATAATAATTAATCTTAGCGATAAATTAATTAGGCTTTAATTATAATAGCTAAGTATAATTTAGCTTAAAATATTATTTTTAAGCTATTAAATAAGCTTATTTATTAAGCTTTAGCCTAAGAGACTTTAAAAAATAAAATAATACTTTAAAAGCTAGCCTCCTCAAGGTAAATTATAACTCTTTTTATTATATAATTAGTTTATATTTCTCTCTCTTTTTTTTATTTTAATTCCTTATTTAATTTAAGCTTCTAGGCTAATACTAATTTATCTCTAAATAATATTTAATCTTAAGTAATAATTATTATTCTTCTATATATTTTTAATAATACCTTAGCTTATTAGCTTAAGGTAATTATCTTATAGCTTAATTAATATAAGAATACTTATATTCCTAGGGAATTTAATATTAATATTATTACTCTAAGTATTAATATTAATTTTATTAAGCTTCTTAATAATTATTAAGATAATTATATCCTTAATTATTTTATTTTATATATTAAGAAGCCTCTTATTTATAATCCTTATAAGAGGCTTACCTTAGGTCTAGCTCTTAGAAGCCTATCTTACTTAGCGATAATAAATTAATTAAGGTAATAAAGATAATAATAATAATAATTCCTTAAATAGCTTATTAAATAGCTCCTTTAATAATAACTCGCCTTAAAGGGAAAAAGCTATAATATTCCTCTTATACCTAAGGTCTCTTAAAGATCTTAAGCCTTTAATCTTCCTAAGGAGTAATTCTTTTATTATTATTATATATTAATTTTAATATTTAAGGTTTTTTATTATTAATAATATAAATAAGCCTTATATTCTTTTCATAATAAATTTATAATATATCTTATACCTTTTATTTTCTTATTAGATATTTTATTATTTTTATTAAATAAAAATAAAGCCTTTTATTTAGAATTAAACTAAGGTCTTTATATTAAAAAGTAAAAATAAGCTATATATCTATATAAGGCCTTAAGGGGCTTATATAGATATATATATAAGGGGAGTTATTCCCTTAGCTTATATCTTTTTTATTAATTTATTTATTTTTAATTAACTTTTTGCCTTAGCTAAGCTAAGATAATTTATAGGCCTAATTATATATATAATTATTTAAATATATCTAATAATAAAACCTTTATTAGGCTATTAATAATAAGCTCGCCTAATAAGATATATTTTATTTTTATTCTTTTTTCCTTAATCTCTTACCTTAGCTAATAATTATAAATATCTATATAATATAGCTTTATATATAATTAAATAAGCTTTACCTTTATAAAATATATAATCTATTAGTTATTATATTAGATTATAATCCTTATTAGGGTTATAGCTAATCTATATTAAGTAATTAGATTTATAAGGTTTATGCCGAGGGAGCTTAATAATTTACTCGCGAAGATTCCCTCCTTAATTACCTAAGAAAAGGCTAAAAGCTCTATTTTAATAATTAAGGTAATAATTTTATTCTATTTATTTACCCTCTAGGCTATAATTCCTTTAAATAGCTTTATAATAAATACCTATAAGCTCTTTTTATTCTCTTTATTATTAATAAAGCTTATATTAATAGCTATTTAAAATATATCTTCTACGGAGCTAGCCTTTATTCTAAAGATAAGGGCTTAATCTCTAATCTAAAGTAAATACTAGAGAACCCTATTAGCTATTTAATAATATTAAGGGCCTAGGTTTTAATTAAATCTCGCGAGCTTATTTATTATAAAAGAGATATTTAGTTATATTATTACCGCGGTATATATAATTATATTTATTTTCTTAAGGTATAATTTAATACTCCCTAGGGTTATAAGCTTATTATATAAAAAGAGTTTTTCTTATATTATTAATATAAATATCTTAAATTAAGGCTAAGGCTTAATTAATAAGTAATAGATCTTATTAATATATATAGCTTATAAGAGCTATAGCCTTTAGTTCTTTTAATCCTATATAACCTCTATTTTAAGAAATTATTAGAGAGGAATTCTTTTTTTAAGATAATAAGGTTCCTATAGGTAGCTTATTAACTTTAAAGCCTCTTTTTATTTATTTTTTAAGAAATATAATATATAATTATTTATATAAAAAAAGAAAATAATCTCTCTCTTTAATTAATAATAATCTTTTC